ACTAGAACGAACTGTTGTATAAACAAAAAAAAAATATATATATATATATATATATTATATTTTGTGTATGCATGCATGTGTGTATAGGATTGGATGAACCCAATATTTCCTTTTTGTCTTTTTAAGAAGAGAGGGGACAATAAAATCATCCTCACTGCTTGAAGACTCCATTGTATTGTTTTGCAAATTTTTTTGCAACTGATTCATTAATTCGCATCGGACTCCATGTGCAAGGTTTCTGTGCGTGACACATTTTTAGGATGACTAATACGAAAAAACTAGAGATGCACCGATCGATCGGCCAGGGATCGGAATCGGCCGATTTTCCTCATGATCGGCCCGCACTTGTTCTTAAAATCCCAAATACTTAAAATGAATAAATCAGCCTATGTAACATGTAATACTTTAATAATTGACTTAAGAAATAGTTCTTTATTTATAAAAAATAAACATTTTCTGTGAAATTCAGTAATGAAGTTAATTCTGTAAAAGTAGTTACACCATTATAATGTTGCCTGCTGAAAAAAAAAAAAAACAGCGCAATATCTGTCAAAAAAAATCGCAATTTGATATTTTCCCCCAAATCGCACAGCCCTACCGCAGTCCAATATTTATGTTGCTGTCTGTCATATTAATCAAAGAACATCATTTTCTGCTCTTGACTGAATACGTTTTATAACTTTAATGGTAAGCATTAATCTGTATTTCATTTTTACAATGAAGAATGACAGCCTGTAGTCTCCTGGGCATGCTGTCATCCAGCTTCATGCAAACCTCAACTTCAATGTTTTTTCCCAAACTCTGTCTGAATAATTTTTGGTCCCACATTTGTATCAGTTTTACTGGTAGTCCACTGTATGAAGAATTTTTGGGTAGAATTTATCACAGTTTACTTTATTTTGCTATCCGCGCTTACATAAATGAACTATAGTGTCCTGCACCCACTAAAAAAAAAAAATGCAGAAACACTCATGAAGCAAGCAAAACACGCGCAACACGTGCAGGTATTTGTACTGATGCAGAACAGTACAGACTAGCGCATTTCACACAAGCTGCTAGTTTCACTTTCGCCTGAAAGTTGTGTATGCCTAAGATTGAAAATAAATGATGTTTATAGTGAATGCCCCTATAAATGGTCTTATTTTTACGATTTAGTTTTAATCCAAATGATGCATGTGCTAAGTGAGTGAACATCAGAGATCACACAACAGAATCTCTCATATCGGGGCATTTTAACGAGTACGAGTACAAGAGCTCAGTATCGGGCCCGATACCGGTATCGGTGCATCCCTAAAAATAACACTGGATGTTAGTAGTAATTTCTGTAGTATTGCTTAACTGAATAAAAACTTACTTAACCTGAAAAACTTGTTTCGTAGCTCTCTTTATTCTATTGCATTTATTTGTGCTGTTTTTTTATGAAAATAAAACTTTGCGTTGAAGAAAAGTAGATTTTTGTTCGTATATGCTGTCAATTATAGTTCTTAGAAAGAAAATCGGAATCGGCAGTATTGGCAGATCACACTAACAAAAAATCGGAATCGGCCAAGAAAATTGCAATCGGTGCATCTCTAGAAAATGTCGGACTCGGTGTGCAAGGCCCTTTAGAATTTTTATCGTATTTTTATCATGTTTTTGTCATAAAGCCTTAGATCCTGACATGGCAATACAAATTTATAACTACTGCTGCGCAGTATTAGTTGAGGTCATTATGAGCGTGCTAATTCTGTGTGTGCTGTCTAGTTATCCCTTAAATATGGGAATTCAAACATGAAATTTTATATTTATGATGTGTTTTAACACTTGATAGTCATAGGTATGTTAAAAGTGAAAATAGAAGTTCAAAAAGACTGCATTGCATTGTGGGGTGCATTTCTAGACGGAACAGGAAAGTGTTCTCTTGGTTTCAAACATGTTTTTTTACATACATACATACATACGTTACACTTTGGCGAATACAATAAGTAATACAATTATTTCATGTATGTGTACTATGCACAGTGCTGTACATGCTGCAGAAATGGTAGTATGCAATTTTAAACGCATATATAACAAATCAATTTGCTAAAATGAGTATGTATATGTGTATAGGGTGATCATGTGTCCTCTTTTTCTGGGACATGTCCTGGGCAGGATTTGTAAATTGTCTAAAAGGTCTGGGTTTTACCTTGTTTTTTATTGGTTTAATACTTGCTGAAGGTACTGAGTGAAAAGTAGTTTGACCAATAGTGTGCAGGCATTGTACATAATGTGTGAGCTCTACAGAAAACATCAAAGCAATGCAAATACACGTACATGTAATGTATGAGGACAGCCAATAGGAAAACAAGGCTAAATCCCAGACATTAGGCAGTTTAGAAATCCTGGAAAAAGAGTGCATATGGTCAGCATAATGTATGAAATTAAATGTTTGCAGATTGTGTAAAATGCTACATTAAGTCTACATGTCATGAGGTTCTGCAGTTGAAAGTGATTGTCTTTGTTTGCCTCAAGATGAAACCGTTCCAGTGATCTTGGCGTGTAGTTTTCGGCTGTTTGTTAGATGCTCATTTGTGTTTTTTTTTTCCAGTCGTCACTCAGCCGACGGCGTCCGCCGCTCCTTCGAGCACAGCTGAAGGTGAAGAGACCAAAACACCCGATGCCCCCAAACCCAAGAAGAACAGATGCTTCATGTGCCGCAAGAAGGTGGGCCTGACAGGTGAGCACAGTTCACACACATTACATCACAGCTCAGGTGTGATCGCTCTGTGCGCTGGTTCTGATGCTGATGTCTGGTTCGTCAGGGTTCGACTGCCGCTGTGGGAATCTCTTCTGTGGACTCCATCGCTACTCGGACAAGCACAACTGCCCCTACGACTACAAGGCAGAGGCTGCGGCCAAGATCCGCAAAGAGAACCCGGTGGTGGTGGCCGATAAGATTCAGAGAATATAAAGCGCTCACCGTCTGCACCTCGACTTTGCGAGAGATCAGCTACAAGGACTCGCACGTTGACCTGTGATTCTAAAGACTAGTTTTTTTAATTACAATATGGGAAAGAATCTTGTTTCTATGCCAGTGCATGAGTGATCACTGTTTCCACCTTTCTTTTGTTTTCTGTTGTTGGTATATGAGCTTCAAGTTAAAACACATGGGGGGGGGGAGAATATCTATAAAAGGTGTGAAGCCAGAGACATTGCCTACCATGTCTGTTTCTGAGTGGAAAATGTGCTGTAACCTGGAATCTGATTGTGTTGAAGGCTGACCGTCCGTGGTGATTGTCATTAGTTAACTCTGTGATCGTGTCTCCTGGTTGGACTCTCTGAAGACTGTTACGGATCTGACCCGAGCGCCGTCAGAGCAGCAGTGCATGACTGGCTCATGTAGCAAATGGACGCTCTGTTTCCTCTGGGTCAAACATTCAGCCCTCCCATTATAGAGTCAGCCTTTACAACATTTATCAGCCACCTTTTCTGCTTGAGCATCAGCCTGCGTCAGTTATCCAGCTATTGGAGTGATGCTGGGGTTTCCTTTTCATTCAACTGTTAAAAATTATTTTTAAACCATTGACGGACTTTGTGAAAAGAAAAATATATATCCAATTCGGGTGGTTTAATGCAGCCAGGCCAGAATGCTTCATGATCAATTTTGAGCACCTGCATCCATGATACAGTGTCAAGTTCAGATGAGGTTGGACATGGCAGCAACGCAAAACTGTTTATTCATTCTCCCACATGATCCTTTAAGACAGGGGTGCCCAAACTCGGTCCTGGAGGGCTGGTGTCCTGCAGAGTTTAGCTCCAACCCTAATCAAGCTCACCTGAACCAGTTAATCAAGCTCTTACTAGGCATACTAGAAACTTACAGGCAGGTGTTTAGGCAAGTTGGAGCAAAACTCTACAGGACATCGGCCCTCCAGGACCGAGTTTGGACACCCCTGCTTTAAGACATTTAAGTGAATCAATTTGTTTTGTTTTTTTTCATTGAGTTGTAATGTGACACCTATTCGATTTATGGGCTTGTTGAGGGTTTGTTGGACTTTAAATGGGTGTTTTGCATGGTTAGTGAAGTGAGTATTTTACAGTTGACTGCATACTAGAAGCCTGAACCAGCTAATCAAGGTCTTACTAGGCATACTAGAAACTTCCAGGCAGGTGTGTTGAGGCAAGTTGTAGCAAAACTCTACAGGACATCGGCCCTCCAGGACCGAGTTTGGACACCCCTGCTTTAAGACATTTAAGTGAATCAATTTGTTTTTTTTTTTTTCATTGAGTTGTAATGTGACACCTATTCGATTTATGGGCTTGTTGAGGGTTTGTTGGACTTTAAATGGGTGTTTTGCATGGTTAGTGAAGTGAGTATTTTACAGTTGACTGCATACTAGAAGTCCATTTATTTATTTATTTTTTTTATTTTTTTTGCTCTTTAATTCACTTTCCTCGTGTGTGTGTGTGTGTGTGTGTGTGAGTGAGTGATTGAGCTTTTCATTGGGTATTGAGTGTTAAATGCAGGTAAAAAATAATGGTATTGTTTAGTGTCATTTAATCAGCCGTGTGCTCGAGTGTTGTGCGTGTCAGTGTATGTGAGTTAGTCAACACCTTTTTCATCTGAGGCTCAGTCCGTTTCGGTTTTCTTTTTTGGGGGGGTCTGGCTGCACAGCGCTGTTTTATTTTCGAGCCATGTGAGTTTACACAGTAAAACTTAACCATCTGTTCAGATTTGATTTTAGTTATGCAAGTTTGTCCAAACCATCTTTATTTATTATATGCGTTGCGCATATAATCTTGTTACCCAACATTACTGCGAAATTGTATCATGTAAATAAAATTATGTACAGAGATATCATTAAAATGTGTGGGTTTTTTTTTTTTTGTCGTTTTGTTAGATGTCCATTATTACGAGATTTTTGGTTTCTGAGACGTGCGCGTGGCGCTGAGAATTTAATGCTTGTATCTCAGCAGGTTTAATGGAATATTTATTTTTTTTAAAAGAGGCACGTGTATTTCCAGCGTAACTTGGTTTTCCAGATAAATTTGGTGGTGAAATCATGTGCTTTTTTTTTGTTTTGTTTTTTTGTTTTTTTTCTGCTGTGCATGTTAACAAAAGTAAAGTAATTTCTTTCCTTCAAAAATGTTGAAAAGGTAACCCATGCCTTTATCTCTTCCAGGCTGGATTACTGTAATTCTCTTTATGTTGGGATTAGCTATTCAGCTTTGTCCTGATTACAGTAAGTTCAAAATGCGCAGCTAGACTCCTGACTGCTCGTTTAGAAATCTGTAAATGGTTTGGCTCCATCAAACCTCTGAATTACTGATTGAGCATCATCCAACCAGAGACTGTTGGTTATTCCTAGGTCAAAGTACAAGTGTAGAGGTGACCGTGCTTTCTCTAGCTGTCCCCAGACTCTGGACTGACTTACCGTTGCTATTAGACTCTGTATTTGTTTAAATCCAGCCTAAAAACCTGTTTGAGAAGGCATACAATCTACGTTGAAGCGTTTCTGTCTTGTATTTTATTGCTATTTAACTATTCTATCATTTTAATCTCTTAAGGTTTAGTGTTTTTTTTTTTTTTTTGTAAAGCACATTGGACTACTCGTAATTAATGGTGCTATATAAATAAAATTGCCATTTCTAATATAAGTAGATAAGTAATCATAAGTAGAGAAAACCAATGGTCAGTTCTTATAGGGGACGTCCCATTCTATATGCACACCTCATATAAAACCATTTTACTGCAGCATTTTTGAGATATCAGGCATTATTATACTTTAGAGGGCTATAAAGACCCCATTTCTAATAAGTAGGCAAAAACAATGGTCAGTTCTTATACGGGACGTCCCATACTATATGCACACCGCATATAAAAACAATTTGCTGCAGCATTTTAGATGTATATAACATTACACTGGAGAAATCGTGCAATGTCTGAGAATTTTATTGATTTTGAATGCATGAAACTCCAAATTGCTACAGTAAAATGTCTTTATATAAAGGGTGCACACAGTATGGGAGGTCCCTTGTAAGAATTGGTAAATTTTTTTACTCCTTAGAATGCGTAACTGTACAGTTTTAAAACTGTAAGATTGAAATAATTGCATGCTCAATGATACAGTAAAATGTTTTCTTTTGATTTATGCGTTGAAGATGTGAGATGACAAGAATCAACACTTTTTTCTTTTTACTTACTAGATTACACCTCTTTATAAGCATCTGAAGTAAAATAATGGTGCATTTCTCTAAAATTCCTCAGTAAAATGGCTTCATATGAAGTGTGCATATGATCTGAAGTGTCCCCTATAAGAACTGATCATTGTTTTTCTCTACTTATTAGAAATGGGGGGCACAGATTTGATCTTAGAGTGTGTGTACGCTAAAATCCACAGCAACGTTCATATGAATAAAAATGCTCTGACGTGGAAAGGTACTTACCGCCACAGGTGTAGCACTTTTCCTTGTGGCAAAGTCGGAGAACTGCAGCTTTGATTTATGCGTTGAAGATGTGAGATGACAAGAATCAACACTTTTTTCTTTTTACTTACTAGATTACACCTCTTTATAAGCATCTGAAGTAAAATAATGGTGCATTTCTCTAAAATTCCTCAGTAAAATGGCTTCATATGAAGTGTGCATATGATCTGAAGTGTCCCCTATAAGAACTGATCATTGTTTTTCTCTACTTATTAGAAATGGGGGGCACAGATTTGATCTTAGAGTGTGTGTACGCTAAAATCCACAGCAACGTTCATATGAATAAAAACGCTCTGACGTGGAAAGGTACTTACCGCCACGTCAGGGTCTGAGCAGGTGTAGCACTTTTCCTTGTGGCAAAGTCGGAGAACTGCAGCTTTTTGAACATTTAAAGGTGACATATCATGAAAATCTGACTTTTCCAGGTCTTAAGTGCTATAATCAGGTCCCCGGTGAATCTACCAACCAAGGAAACATGAAAAAGATGAACCCAGTAACTTTGACATGAAAATCTTACTTTTCCAGGTTTTAAGTGCTATAATCAGGTCCCCGGTGAATCTACCAACCAAGGAAACATGAAAAAGATGAACCCAGTAACTTTGTTTAGGTAAGCCTTTTTCTGCAAGAGTCTGAGAAAACGAGCGAGTCTGATTTCACTCCCTTTGTGAGGTGGCAAAGGGATCTCATTATAATATTACCGCCCCTTAATCTGTAAGTTTCCCCCCACGGCGCCTTCATTTTGTTTTCGCGACAACGGTGTACCAGTTCTAATGCCATGATGAAAGTTTGAGCAAAACATGCTAACTAAATGATATAATAAATGATCTGTGGAGTATTTTGAGCTGAAACTTCACAGACACATTCTGGGGACACCAGAAACGTATATTACATATTGTAAAAAGGGGCATAATATGTCTCCTTTAAGCTGCAATAATAATAAAAGCGGTTAATTGTGCAGTGTAGTCAGATTTTTTATTAATTTATTAGTTTTTGCCAGATTAAACTGACCTTTTTAGTAGCCTAATGTTGAGAGTTCTTTACTCGCTTTCTGTACACAGTTTATTCCATGTTGTTTTTTATTATTTTATTTTACAAGAGAACTTGCGAAGTATTGATTTACTACTAATGCGTAATATAGAAAAAAAAATCAAACGTATCTCCGACTGTTTTGTCTGTGTAGCCTGTAAGAATAGGCCCATGTCGCCAAATCACATGCAGGTTTTTTTCAGACCGGAGACCATAATCGTGTAATAATTTATGATATGAAACGTCCAATTTTTCTTTCAATAATGTTTTTTAACGTTTTGCAAGAATTTCATGATACTAAATTTTTTATTAGTTGTCATAGCAAGTGATTTTAAAATGACTGAAAAGACTGAAAATGTTACTTTAATTCGTAGTTTATTCTTACTTTTGGAAACCTAATTGTTTTATAATTACTATTATTATTATTATTATTATTATTTCTGTTGTTTCTAGTAGTAATTTTGAGTCAATAGTAGTCAATAGAAAAAATATAACCACACATTGTTTGTCCACAGAATAATTACACATTATTAAATAAAAAGCGTCCCCGCATGAACCTCTACCTCCGCCAGCAGGACCTCAATTTCAGACTCAGTAAAGGTTTTTTATTTTTTTGTGCTCGTCATTCTCAAGCATAGAAAGTCGGATATTGGCGTATGCTCTTTTATATGGTAATGATATTAATTAGGGGGCGTTTACAAGGCGGAGATCTGACACCAGTCAGCTACGCACAATTTCAAGATCATTTGCAATTTATAAATGTCACATCTGGAAGTTTTTTTGTGCGCACGTTCGTTTTCTCTGAATCGCACCTACGCACTTTTGAGAAATGATCTTAGAACAAATTTAGGACGGTTTATACGCAACATTTTATAAATGAGGCCCGGGGTCTTTATAGGCCTCTAAAGTGTAATAATGTCCCATATCTGCAGTAGAACGTTTTTATATGAGACTGCTGTGCTTTATCCTGACATTGCACAAAGAATGATTGCAATCATTCAGTCAGTGACGGCTGCACAAAACATAACTAATAGTACATAACTAATAAAACATTATAAACGGTTACGAAAGGATGAACAAATGTTTAAGTTTGTTTGCACAACGCTAAAAATATATTCCGTTAATGAGATACAAGGAGCGTCAGGGAAATTCATGAATATTCATGTAAGCCCCGCCCACGGAAACTGAAAATCTCCTAGCTGTTGCTAAGCTTTATTTGTGCAAAATAATGGAAAAAGACTAATTTATAAAACGGGAGATTTAGCAGTGTCACAGGGTTGTCAGATTTTCCCCCATAAAACCATCTAACTTATATAAAACATGTACAGCGCTCTCTCCCACCTTCAATACCACGACTGAGGTGCCCTTGAGCAAGGCACCGAACCCCCAACTGCTCCCCGGGCGCCGCAGCATAAATGGCTGCCCACTGCTCCGGGAGTGTGTTCACGGTGTGTGTGTGTGTGTGTGTTCACTGCTGTGTGTGTGCACTTTGGATGGGTTAAATGCAGAGCACTAATTCCAAGTATGGGTCACCATACTTGGCCACATGTCACGTCACTTCAATAGTAGAATGATTGTGGCAGGTTTACAAGGGATAAGGAATTTTCATTTTCCTGCCAATACACCTGAACGATTTAATCAGCAGTGACTTTTAATACTTTAAAATGAAATGTTAAAGGGGTCATATGATGCTGCTAAAAAGAACATTATTTTGTGTATTTGGTGTAATGAAATGTGTTTATGCGGTTTAAGGTTCAAAAAACACATTATTTTCCACATACTGTACATTATTGTTTCTCCTCTATGCCCCGCCTTTCTGAAACGCGTCGATTTTTACAAAGCTCATCGGTCTGAAAAAGCGAGGTGTGCTCTGATTGGCCAGCTATCCAGTGCGTTGTGATTGGCCGAATACCTCAAGCGTGTGACGGAAATGTTACGCCCCTCACCATACTGTGATGCCTGCGGCAACCACATTTGACGACCCCGGGCTGGAAGACCAAACAAAGTAGTTTCGCTTTCACAACGAAACACACAGCGCCTTCACGACATGGCGGTGGCGGCAACAACAATACTACAGCGAGAATAAAAGTTACGCCTTCTTTCTTTGCGTGAACATTTGGGCGGCGTTATGCAAATCTTCCCACATCGTGACGTAGACATGTGGGGGCGTGTTAGAACGAGCCATTTTAGGAGGGCGTGGACAAGTCTTAACTTTTATAAAGAATATCTCTTTGGATTTGAGACTTTAGTCTTTGCAACTTTACAGATCTTCTTTATGCACCAAGAGCTTGTAACACTCCAAAGAGAAAGGAAAAATTGAAATCGCATCATATGACCCCTTTAATCATTTAACGTTGCAATTAGCTTCAGAGCCAGATGTGAAACCAGCGGCTGTAATGATAGTTTGTACCATAGTTTGGTAGGCGCTTTTTTATTTATTTATTTTTTTAATTGTACAATCTTCAAGTAATTAACTCTTTATAGAATAGAAAGGAAAGCCTCGACTCTTCACAAAGCCTCGTTTCACCATTACTAACTACAATGCTTTCAAGGCAGCGCTGTACTGACGCTTACAAATGTAATACCAGCACTGCAAATATGTTTCCTTCCTAAATGAATCAGTGTTTTTGAACAAATCAGTTGAGTCAATGATTCAATGTCTCAAAGTCAAGAGTTCATGTCACCTGCATAAAGGCTCAAAAATCCAACATACTGACAGCCAAACAAACAAGTGCAGTGATATCAACAAAAAAATTATTTATATTATTAAATATTTATATTTTAAAATAGCCATACATTCAATCTTATTTGTATACCTGTGTTGAAAACACAAAATGGAAAAATGCTTCTTGTCTGGTCACATTCAATTATGAATTGCATGAATCACGTGAATGAAAGCCTATATTATTAAATCAAAATGGTGAAATTTGACCAAAAAAACCTGAGTAGTTTGCATCACTGGATGTTACTGTGTAAAACTGTTCTCATGTTACATTTCTGACCCTATGTGTGAGCAATAATAATAATAATAGAGATGCCTCCTTTAGTGAGAATAAACACTAGACTTGGTTTTAAGGAAACAGCCGTTACATTTATGAATTTATTAAACAAAAACGTTTCTTCAGAACTCGTAACATTTTTTTAATGCATATTTGACATGAAGGCACTTAACAGCATCTGAACTGGTAATCCAACTAGAACTTGAGCTACTCTGAACAGCTCAACATGTAGTTGAGTTTCTTCAGCAGTTGTGTCCGCGTTTGGCGCGTCGGATGAAGGCTTTCTCGCTCCATTTGTTCGGTGGAAGCATGTAGGGTCCGTTGTGCACACAGACACACACACACACACACACACACACACTCGATGATGCTGTAATATCACTGAACACGTCACACACACATCAGTCAGCAAACCTACCTTAGGTGTGATGAAGAAATACTGAGACGTGTTCACACCACACGCCGTCCTCACAACAATGTCAAACACTCGTCTCTCATTGACAGGATCCATGCCCTGAACAACACAACACAACACACATCAATCAAACGACACACACGCACAACATGCCAACACACTTCACCTCAGGAATGTACAGACTATTACACAACTAACTCGATGCAAAGATGATTGACAATTAGCATACAGTTTGGATTGGCGGTATGGTTCTGTTCTGGGCAATAACTCCCTGTGCATCCATGCAGCCTAGCATGGATGAGAGCAGGGAGAGCAGCGATAACCCCCCAGGGTAAACAGAACAGAACCAACATAAATGTATTGCAGATATCGTTAAAGTTCAATAATGTTATGTACACATTTTAGAATTAGTCTGATTCAAAGGAGAATCAGAAGGCTGAATCCTGACTGACAGAGGAGGAGCTGGGGATGGAGGAGGGTAATTAGCTATTGAGCAATGCGAAAACTGCTGATAATACTGAGGGACCTTATATATGAATGCTTAGATAGGTGTCGTATTCCCATAGGTTGATGGGGATCAGCTGATGCGAGCTTGACTAACGTGACCTGCCAGAACTAACACTACGCTATTTCTGAAAACTCGAGGCATGATAAAGCATAATCTACTGACATAAAACAGTCTGCATAATGTTTATATGCGGTTAATGATTTAATTCCACAAGCCCAGCTATCAAATAAAAACACAGTGTGATTTATGAATGCTGTGTGACTTTGACTGCATGTGACGACAATATTCAACAGCGATCAGGTGATTTCGGCTGTCGATGGACACGCACAACAAATATAAATAAATACATTTAAATATTAATTAGTAATAAATTAATAAATATTTATTGGTATGTTATTTCTTTATTTGTGGAAAAGACAAATAGGATTACAGAACAGCGTGAGAAGTTGCTGAAGTATAAATGTTACGTTTTTTTTTTTTTTTACAGATTTAAAATTTATTTAAAGTTCTTTCTTTTTCTCCCAAACTGATTTCCAAATAAATTATGAAATATTTAGTAAACATAATATAATGTGGCACTGCTGTGCATGTTTTTTCTATCTTTTAATTAAAATGTGTGACATTACATTCATTACAATCATCATCAGCAGCCATTAAAAACCCCACATCAGCTGACCAGTAACTAAAACCAGAATTATTTTAGTATTTTGACTATACTAGCCTAGAATTTAATAACAGTTCAATTAGTTTTTTTAAGTTCTGTTTTCATTTGAATTTGAATTAAATTTTAGTTATGTGTTTGACATTTAAAAAAAAAAAAATTTTAGTCTAATTTTTATTCATTTTAGTAATTTTAGGGCTTTTTTAGTTTAGTTTTATGTAAAAATAACTGGACCGACTGTGTTAGACCAGTGTTATCTTAGTATCACTGAGACACTACTATAGTTCTTATGATTAGATTTAATTCGTTTTGTTTTTTTCATTTTAATTTCTAAGATTTAGTCATTATTTAGTTATTTAGTCAGGGGAAGTCGTGGCCTAATGATTAGAGAGTTGGACTCGGAACCCAAAGGTTGCGGGTTCGGGTCTCAGGTCCGGCATGTACAGCACTCTCTCCCACCTTCAATACCACGACTGAGGTGCCCTTGAGCAAGGCACCGAACCCCCAACTGCTCCCCGGGCGCCGCAGCATAAATGGCTGCCCACTGCTCCGGGTGTGTGTTCACGGTGTGTGTGTGTTCACTGCTGTGTGTGTGCACTTTGGATGGATAAATGCAGAGCACTAATTCCAAGTATGGGTCACCATACTTGGCCACATGTCACGTTATTATGTTGTGTCTATATAGTTTTTATTATTTTATTATATTTTATTTTATTTCAGTTTTAGTTATTTTAGTACATCAAGTTAAACTAAACGAAAATGAGAAATACTAGCTAAAGTAAAATAAGTATGAGTTCCTTTTAATATTTTTTTCATTAACAATTAGCATTTTTTTTATGGTTTTAGTTTTAGTGAACAATAACACCACTGACTGAGATGTGGTTCATGTAAATCATTATTGCTCTAATACAGCTAGGAATTTAAGCATCTATAAGAAAGACCAGCATTTTGTCTGGAACCGATCTGGTAAGCTGTGGAATAAAGTGAACTCAGTGATTGTGCATGTGTGTCTGAATGTGTCCCGTGTCTGTGAGTCTTCACTTGGTTGATCTCGTCCACCACTCTGAAGGGGCAGCGGTTCAGCTCCTGCAGGGCCATGAGGTACAGCATGGTGGACACGCTGCGCTCTCCGCCGCTCTGATGGTGAGGCGTCAGCTCATGCAGCTGTGTGCTGCTGAGAAACTTCACCCGGATACGGATGCTGTACTTATCATACTCCTCCTGAAACCCATTTACACAACACTGCGTTTGCTGGAGTCTGGCTTATGCTGCTTTAAACAGTGTTTGCAGACGTTGTTTTGCAGTACAAGATGAGAATGTGGCTTTTACACCAATAAAACGAACTGAGATTCAGCATTAACTGAACCCAGGACAACAACAAAACCTCTTCTCTCATACAGCACCAAAAAGCCACCAAACGTCCTTCGCTGTCAGCTGGATAAAACTGAACATGAGAGAACGGGGCAGCCTGACACGATGTTATGAGAGTGTATGAACGTGTCCTCACCTCGTTCTCCGAGTGCAGATCCACCTCTCCAGCGCACTGCATGGAGCGAAAGAAATCACTGAAGCGCTCGTTGATTTGATCCACCAGCTGCTTCAGAGGATTCAGCCAGCGCTCTTTAGCCTAACACACACGGTCACACTGCTTAGCGGTTTGTATGATGGTGTTGGTGTGACGGGGGTTGTGCTTTGTCAGACGCACCTCAGCAATGTTTTGTCTGTTGGTTCTCAGAGCGTTGGTCTTGTCGTCCAGCTCCTTCTCCATGTTCTTAATCTCCAGCTCACGTCTGTTATATTCCTCCACCACCTGACAGTAAAACCACAGCACATGAAACAGGAACTGACTGTACACTGAGCTCAACCCCACAGTTGTGCTGCTAACTGCGTCACACTGCGACGACATTCAGAATGAGAAACTGGACAACTAGAGAATGTTGTGGCTGATATAATATGCCAATGACTGTAATAATAGTCTAATACAGTTTAACTTACGATTTCCACGATGCAGAAAAAACAAATGGGATCACAGAATCCAATCATAAAAAAGGATACTGTATGATGCGGAATATCTCAGAATTTGACAAATGGATAAAATGTACAATTATATTTTGGATGAATAAATCGAACGAAGTATCAACTAGTGTCAGTGAACAGAATCAATTTCCATAACACACAATAACCACTGCAGCTTTTATCAGCTGAATCAAGTTACCGTAACTTAAAGAGATAGTTCACCCAAAAATTGTAATTCTGTCATCATTTAAATCACCCTCATGTTGTTCCAAACCTATACAAGTTTGTCTTTTCTGCTGAGCACAAAAGAAGATTTTAAAGAGTGTTGGTGACCAAACAGTTACTGGTCGCCATTGATTTCCATAGAATGGAAAAAAAATACTATGAAGTCAATGGCTACCGTCAGCTGTTTGCTTACCAACACTCTTCAAAATATCTTCTTTTGAGTTCAACAGAAGAAAGAAACTGGTTTGGAACAACATGAGGGTGAGTAAATGATGACGACTTAAATGTTTGGGAGATCAATTCCTGTAAGTGTGGTCCTCTTAACTAGTTTAATTGCTACTATTTTCTACTAAACTAGGCTGTGAGTCAAATTTCAAACTGACATTCTGGTAATTTGCAATCTCAAAATGGTTAAATACTGAAGCAAATTGTTTATCATGCTCAACTAAAAATGAACTCTGGAGCTAATATTGGCATCTATGTTACAGTTAAAGGCACAATATCCAAAAACCACTAGAACAGTGTTATATATTTTGCTGTACTTACATTATCCCAAATGTTTCGAAGAATGTTTAAATCCAGAGAAATAAGCAATTTTAACTAGTGACACGGACCGTGTCCATAGTGTCAAGCAAATTAATTATAGAAAAGCTACTTAAAAAAGCTTGGCTAAAGTAAAAAAAAGCAACAAGCAGCTAAGATGAAGCGCAAAATACAGTGAAGCTATTAAGGGGAGAATATATTTATGAATACAACTGAGTTCAGATGATTAAAAGGCACAATATGTAAGATTTTTTTATTAAAATATCCAAAAACCACTAGAACAGTGTTATATATTTTGCTGACTTGTGTACTTACATTATCCCAAATGTTTCGAAGAATGTTCCAGAGAAATAAGCAATTTTAACTAGTGACACGGACCGTGTCCATAGTGTCACTGTGTCGCCTGCCAATGACGTCATAACTCCTCGATTTCCGGTTTTGTTTTGTAGAAAACATGGAAACACCGAAGACGCTTTAATATGTTGTGCATTTTAATAGACAGGTGACGGCCGCACAGAGTAGCATTATAACAGAACTTTCAAATGTATCTAGTATGATAAAACAGCGCTGCTTTACCCCACATACTCACGACCGGAAGGAGTGGAAGCGGTCGACTGTGGCATAATAAAAGCTCCGCTGCTTTCGAGCCGCGTGTCGCGCTCGTTCAGCGGCCTCGTTTCGCTTCGACGGCTTTCAGCCTCACTCTGCTTCATTCTACTACGTTAATAAATCATTAGCTCATCCATGATCATGATTTCTGCCCGAGTCCCGTCGGATTGCTTCGGTTGTGGAGATGAAGACGACAACTCCCATGATTCCACACTCAGTCACGACGTCATCAAACTACGCCTTTGTTTCTTTGTTTGTTTTGAATACACGCCCTCTAGCAGCGAAAACTACATATTGTGCCTTTAAGGCCAAAGTATACTTCCGTTTTTACATGTACGTGAGAGTCCACATACAGTAAGCGTGACGCAAATTTTGTCACCAGAATAGTATGTGTGTACTGTACGCACATTATCCAATTTTTGTAACCACGTGTACTTTGTATGTGCAGGTCGCACATGTGCACTGAATTTGTTTTGCACTACTCAGTTGACTGTACTTATACACTAGCGCAGGTGTAAAACACTGAAGTATACTTTGGGCTATAGAGATGCCCACATTCACCAGCTCTTCTTGATGTGAGCTTTCAGCATGAAGTAAGGATTAACTAGTAGCATTATAAAGGCAGAGGTCAGGTTAAGCATGGATGAGCTGATGCGTTTGTCTCACAGCATCACTGAGGCCGGTGAAGCACTCGGCTCTGGTCTTCTCCTCATTCAACATGGCATCAATCTCATCCAGTGTATTGGGCAACTGGCCGAAGGCCTGAAAGGAAACGACACACACAATGTTGTAAAATAAGGAATTACACACTGAATGAAAGATGAGGGGTGTCTGAGGCAGATGGAGCTCACTGCGTGTAGTTCATCTGGGACGGCTGTCTCCCCGGGGCTCATTTTACAGATCGCACTGGCCCTACTCATCAGGGTCTTACACTTGGCCAACAGATTGGTCTTTATCTGGTCCAACTTGGTGTACACCCCCTGTACGAGCACACAGACACATGTGTGTCTTACTGTGTGCGATTCATCAGTGAATGAGAACATTTTAATTAAGGAGAGAAATGAGGGCATGCTCTTGTTAAAATATACTGTTAACCTGGAATATTCAAGTTGTCAATCTGAATAATAAGACTGTTACGACAAATTTAATCAAGTCAACTTTTAAATAAAGAATATTAGAAAATAGATTACTTTTTTTTTTTTACATGCCATCATTCAAAAGTTTGGGGTTGGTAAGATTTTTTAATGTTGTTAAAGTGTCTTTTGTTCACCAAGATGGCACTTATTTGATAAAAAATTATAATTAAAACAGTAATATTCTAAAATATTATTATGATTTAAAATAATGGTTGTCTGTTTTTAAATGTAATTTATTCCTGTGATCAAAGCTGAATTTTCAGCATCATTCCTCCAGTCTTCAGTGTCACATGATCTTCAGAAATCATTCTAATATGCTGATCTGATGCTCAAGACACATTTCTTCTTATTATCAATGTTAAAAACGTTGTGCTGCTTCATATTCTTTGTGGAAACTGTGATAGTTTTTTTCAGGATTCTTTGATGAATAGAGCGTTCAAAAGAACTGCATTTATTTAAAATAGAAATATTTTTCTAACATTACACTAGGGCTGCCACTAACGACTATTTTTATTTCGATTAATCTATCGACTAATTTATCGATTAATCAATTAATCTAAACGATTAATTTCCCACAAAAAATCAACAATTTTACTTAAGAATATTTTATTAAACTATATTTTATTAAACCAAATGAAATCCAAATTTCTATTAAATCCTTTTTTTAAAGCAAAAGTAAAGCGTAACATAGAGTGCAAGAAGCAAGTGTCCATCTCATAGTCCAAATCACTGAAATCAAAGTTCAGTATTATAGTGTAAGAATGACATATCCACGTGTTCTAGTCTACTACTAATAAAATTATAATATAGAGCTAATGTACATTACGCATTACAACAAAGGCCTGCAGGGGGCGCCAACGGCCTGATTATTGTTTTTACACATCTAATATTGACCAAGCACCATTTCATTCAAATGTCTACTTAATCTTTGATATTTGGTCATTTCTTTCGGACAGAAATGCTATAGCCACTGTAATTAAAAGAATATGTGGACATCAAAACTCAGATGTCAGTGTAAACTCAGAGTGAGGGTTTGAGCTTTTATTTTGAAACCGCGAGATGAAGTATTCTCCTGTGTTTGCGTGGATTTATAAATGATTTACCTTACAAATCTGATGAAATGGCGCACGTTGCGTTCCCAGATGAACGTTATAATAAACCCAAACTCACAACAACATGCAGAGATGGAGCTTGAGACGCTCCACACATGTAAATGATAACAGTTCCTGAGGAACTACTGTGAACGGAGCCGCTGTGTGACGCACGCACTTAACCTACACGCATGTAAATAATTAAAGCGCATATACTGTATTAGAACTGCATCGCATATAATTATTTCATTAAATCGTAGCGTTTGTGAATTCACAATTATGCTTAATTATGATTTTTAAATGGGTTTAATATATCATGCAGCCTTGGGAAACAGCCTTAATGTGTTTTATGGATTCTCGTCCGTGAAATGCGCCACTTCCGGTATTTTGCCGGTTAGTCGACGCAGCAAAATGAAGTCGAGGATTTTTTTAAATTGAATAGTCAAATAAAATCGACAAATCGCGACAGCCCTACATTACACATGCTTTTACTTTTGATCAATTTAATGTGTCCTTGCTGAATAAAAGCATTCCTTTCTGAAAAATAAATGTTACTAACCCGTAGTGTAATTGTATTATTGCAGTATTACATTATAATTTATATAAGAAAAACAACAGACATGGGTTTATAAAAAGACCCTCATTTATTTGCTGACTATCCCACTTGGCTAGAAAATATGTCAGTAAAATGCATTGCTAATGTGACAGATTCTCTTACCTCTGCTTGCTTGAGTTCAGCTAAACTGTCCCTGCAGTCCGTCTCCAGCTTGGTTTTCTCAGCAGAGAGACCTGCGCTCTGGAGAGCCAAGTACACCTTCTCCATACTCATTCTGGCCTTCATCTACAAACACACATATGAAGCCATAAGACACAGAACAGCTGAAGGTAGAAATCAACCTCCGTAGAGCACTTACACACCTGCATGTGACTCAGATACTCCTCCATTATGGCCACTTTCTTGTTGTTTACAGCCGCGATCTTGGTATTCGTTTCCTCTTCAATTGCCTGCAAGTTGATCTCGTTCTGCTCCATCTGCCGCAAACTGCACAGAGAGAAAAAGATATAAAAGATAGCGGATTTAAAACAAAGCTGCACACAGCTGGTTTTAGGAGGAAGGTACCTGTCCTGTTTTGTGCTGATTTTCTGCTCCAGCTGTCTCTTCTTGCCTTTCAGCTCAGACAGTTTCTTCTTCTTAGCACGCAGCTCATTATCATGGCGGTCCAGTTTAGTTAGTTGCTCACGAACGGTTGCCATCCGTTGATCACATCTCTGCACCTTCCTCTCTGCTGCCTGTGAGCAAAACATCAAATCTGAGGTCATTACACTTATTCAGTTGATCTCCTTTCCATTTATTATTTACAGCTGTACCAGAGTAAAAAAAAGTGGAGAGCTGTGACATATAGCTTAAAATGCTTACAAAAAGCAGGCTCTCAAATGGTTTGAAGGGTGATTTCTTTCCTAATGACTGATTTAACAAACACCAACATTTAATCTACTTAATCAAATAAATGAATACATACCAATGTGCCCCAACATTTAAATCCTAAAGCAGTGTAGACAGTGTGTCTCACCCTCAGCTGCTCCTCCAGCTGGTGTCTCTCGTCTGCATCTATGGTCGTAGTGAGGAACTGCGAGGGTCGCAGGGCCGAGTTACTGGACACCACGCTATTAGAGTAGTTGGACTTCTTCACGTTGTACTTCTCCTCCGCTGTGTAGATCACCCTCAACTGAAGCTCTCTGATCACCTGCCACAGAAAAACATAAGTTACAGATTGTAGGGCCCTATGAATTCAGCTTTTACCAAATTCAGCATAATTGCTTTTTACAAATTCTGTGTTTCCCATTTTAATGGAATTTAATTTCAATAACAAACAAAGGCATGTCTAATCAAGTGAATTCATAAAACCTAATAACTTTAACAATAACATGGCCCTAAAAAAGTTTTTTTTTTTCCAGAAATTCTGTAATTTAATACAAATGTATTATCATAAATGGTGGTGAGTCCCTGCCCCTTTAGTCACCTGCCCTTTCTGTCCAATCTAGGGGCCCCAGACCGTGATTTGAACTGAGAATTCGAACCAAAATTGCTGATTTGAATAATTTGTTTACATTGAAATTTATGCATTTGACAGATTTGACAGATCCAAAGTGAATTTTACATTGCATGCAAGCTATACTTTTTTTTTTTTAATTCATGTTATCTCTGGGAATCAAACCAATGACCTTGGTGCTGATAGTGTCATGTTCTGTTACAATAATAGGCTACAGAAGCATATTTACAAGTTGATAATGAGCAGCTAGGTCACTTAACAGTTTAAGTTTATTGCCACATCAGCTTCGCAGGCTGTTTCATGGCAAAGATTATACATTAAAAATATAGAACACAAAATACACACACAATAAACATAAACAAATTAATAAAAACAATTATAAAACAAAGTATCACACATACATTTCTATTAAAAAGATACTTTAAATTTACTTTTGAAAGAAATTGTAAAAGTTTTTCTGGGTCCATCTTACAAAACTAGTCCTTAAGAGTTTGTCCTGATAATAACCTTTGTCAGCTAGGTCACTTACTACATTCATACGCACAAAACTACATGTGTATTAAGATTTGGGGCAACTGAATGATGGAGGACCTACCATCTCGATCATGCTCTTGGTCTTCTCTGTTCCTGCAGGCACATCATTGACTCTGTACTGATGGCACAAGTAACTCATGACCTCCTCAGGAGCATCGAACAGCTCACGCAAATACGAGAAGAAGCCATAACGCCTGACACAAAGAAAAAAAAACAATGTAATAAATGTACTGAATAAGACGTCTTTGGTAGTGGTCAAGTAGAGGGTGTTACTTCAGAGTCTCCAGGGGTCGTGATGGAGGTCGTTTAGAGCAGGACTCTGCTGGAGCGATGACGCTGTTAACGCGCAGCCTCTGTGTGTCTCGCACCTGAGAAAACCGCACATTTGACTGATTTTACTTACTCTCTATTATAAATGTTTATTATTCTATTATTTTATTGCATTATATATATATTTTTTATTGTTAGAAAATAACACAAATTATATAACACATAAGAATCACAAATGAAGGCTTTAAACTACATCTACACATGACACTAGTGTTGTCACGGTACCAAAATTTCAGTATTCGGTACCAATACCAGTGAAAATCCACGGTTCTCGGTACCAATTTCGGTACCAAAGCAAAACACAAAAACATGCTAATTAAAAAATGTGACTATATTTAATCCAAACTGTGTACATATTTAATTTAAGGGCTTTTGAAAACCTAGAGTTATTCAGCCAAGAATAACAAGCATTAAATAGTTCATAAAGAAACTTCATTCATATGCTCATTATATTAGCATTAGCCTCGCTTATGCTAACGATTAACTACTCTAATAACAGCGTTCATTTCAATCCGACATTCAAATTAAAATATTTAATAATATTCATAACAGAAGCGGTGTTTTCCCCAGACTTGCACTCTATTTGTGGCGGCATATCTATGCAAATTCATTCTCTGCCAGCAGGAGGCGCTTGTAGAACGGGAGAGATAGAGGTTTCCCCGGTAATGGCTGAAATGAAACTTACCTGCTTGAACTCTTTCATTTGATCTGGGTGTCTGTCTTTAAAGTGTTTTGTTAGTTTGATGCGTTTCCTCGTTTTGATGTCGCCACCTTTCGGATAGCGCATCAAGAACCAGGTACTTAAAAAAACCTGGTACCATAACGCTTTCATTTTTTTAGTACCGACTTGGTACCGAAGTACCGGGTTTTTGACAACACTACATGACACATTTTGGTAACAGGATTTCAATCATTACCAACTTCATAATAAATGAACTGAAAATTGTTCATATAATATTTAGTTGGACCTCCTAAGGTGAACAATCAATAATCAAAATGATTTTTTTTATTGTATCAGCTTCTTTCTAAGTACTACACACTGAGCTTCTCACCTCTGTCATGAACTTCTCCATGTCCTCCTGTCTCTGAAAGACAAAGGCTCTCAAGTCGTTGGCAGGAATTTGACTCTCAACGTATTTTGCGTGCCGAGCATCACGGACATTAATCTGGCAACAAAAGGAGAAAAGATCAAACCGATCTGCTTGAACACCCATCTCCAAGAAACAGCACCTGAATTAGCAGCTGTGCTCTCACCACCAGCATCATGGGATCATAGACGTTGCCTTTGAAACGATCACGGTTATTCCTCAGCCAATTGAGGGCGGTGTAGGTGTCACGGAAACGGACGCGCAGTTTATCCTCTTTCATCTTCATCATGTCCTCCAGACTCCTCAGACGATTCTGCAAACCTTCAAAAAAACAACCAACAAACTAAAAATCAGTAGCATGACGAATTACTAATATGCTAAAATTGAGTGATTTCTCCATAACAGAAAAAATAATAATATACAACACATTTCAACCCTCTACATTGTGAGTAAATCACTCGTGTATGCGACTAAATCTTCACTCTGGGCAACTAAGTGTCTATCATTAGCCATTGGCTAATCAATTCTTAGATTTTACTCGCCAGTGTGAGAGTTGGAGGGCAAGTATAAGTTTAGCATAGATATATTTTCACTTCAGTGGGCGGAGCTAATGCACAAACGGCAATCTCATTGGCTGGCGCTCATCTATTACCGTCCCTGTTTTGATTTCAGCAAATCAGTTCTGGCGAACGCTGACAACGTGATTAATATTCATGAGCCCAGCAGCTCATCAATCCTTAGTGCGCTGTATATTGTTAGTACAGTAGTAGAATTTGTAGTAGTATTATCTTTTGATAATAATTACTGATATCTATTACTATTATCTTTTTGTTTACAGAAAACCTGAATGACCAACAATATCTTAAGCATCACCACCAGTCCTAAGTTCAGCTAAAATAACAAATATGCATTCATACATGGTTACCTAGTTTAGTTCTAATCACTAAAGTTCTATCATTAAATAGTGCTTAATTATCATATCATATTATAATGCTTGACTGACTGATGTTAAGAGTGTACTTTCAGATATTTAGAAGTTGTGCCATTTTACAAAGATAAGCTGTATGTACAGTGGGTACGGAAAGTATTCAGACCCCCTTAAATTTTTCACTCTTTGTTATATTGCAGCCATTTGCTAAAATCATTTCAACTCTGTGACTGTTCTTGAATGGCCCAGCCAGAGCCCTGACTTAAACCCAATTGAGCATCTCTGGAGAGACCTAAAAATGGCTGTCCACCAACGTTTACCATCCAACCTGACAGAACTGGAGAGGATCTGCAAGGAGGAATGGCAGAGGATCCCCAAATCCAGGTGTGAAAAACTTGTTGCATCTTTCCCAAAAAGACTCATGGCTGTATTAGATCAAAAGGGTGCTTCTACTAAATACTGAGCAAAGGGTCTGAATACTTAGGACCATGTGATATTTCAGTTTTTCTTTTTTAATAAATCTGCAAAAATGTCAACGATTCTGTGTTTTTCTGTCAATATGGGGTGCTGTGTGTACATTAATGAGGAAAAAAATTAACTTAAATGATTTTAGCAAATGGCTGCAATATAACAAAGAGTGAAAAATTTAAGGGGGTCTGAATACTTTCCGTACCCACTGTATATGTGTGTGTGTGTGTAAAATAGTATATCAGTCTGGCGAGTAAACTAAAAAATGTACTAGCCAATGGCGATTATATTGGCAAGGTGTGCGTAGAGGGTTGCATTTGTATGTTTTTCAGCTACTAAAGTCATCTTAAACATTACGGTGTAATTCTCCAGAGGCTTCGTCTTTGTCTCTGCGCAGGTCCAAACTCTCGCCCTCCAGTTTGGCTTTTTCGTCCTGGATGTTCTTCAGCTCTGCGTTAACAGCCTCGATCTGAGGCGTGACGTCCTCCATGCTGCCCATGTTCTGAAGCTCCTTCTGCAGGTCTTTGATCATGAGCTGCGTGTGTCCGATCCGCTTCTGCCGGTCCGCCTCCTCCGTCTGCTTCAGACTTAGGTCCTGTCTGATGTCATCAACCTAAGATTTGAAGAACACCAATCAGTCAGAGTTATAATATGGTCTTTAATAGTGTTATAAAGCGCTCTCTTTAAATGTTCTGTAAGTGGTTTCAGAACAAACCTCGTTATTCCTCAGTTCAAGCTGATCGTGTTTCTGCTTACATTTCTGTGATGCATCTTTGATACCAGCAGTCTGAAAAGAAGACAAAAAACACGGGCATTACTTTTCTATAATAAAGGAAATAAAATAGATTCTTGGTAGGGCTGGGCGATAAAAACTCTAGGGATAATCATCATAACGATATAATTTTCCTCTAACGATAACAAGAGTTTGATATAATGTTTATGTGCCAAAAGCGGAAGGAAACAGCGTGACTCATTTGAAGCGTGTCACACGGAGCGTTTATCCGCTCGGCTCAGAGTTCAAATGGCAGCAGATGCAGAAACAGATGTGTACACTCGCTGATGAGTCTCAGTCACACGACACTAAACAGCGCTGTGAGATCTAGTGTGAAGCGCTTCAATTCAGCGAAGAACACAACTGATTTAACCTAGATTAAAGCCAGATGAAACAGCGCTGACAAACAGCAGAAACACTGTGCACAATGATAGTCAGGAAGCTTTTCAATCTACAAATCGCCATCATTTACAATGGATTTACTGTAGTAACACCAATTGCACCATGGTATTTTGGCAGAAATGTGGGATATTCATATTGAATTTGATTATATTATTAATGTAGACATGTATTAAATGTATTTAAGGAGTAACGGAATACAGGTAATTACAGTATTTTTGTGATTAAGCTATAGAGTTTGTGCATTTATACTAAATGTATTTAGGTTGCGTTCACACTTGTCATGTTTGGTTCGATTAAAACGAACCCTGGTGCAATTGCTCTGTTAGTGCGGTTCGTTTGAGTAAGTGTCAACGCTGCCATCCGAACCCTGGTGCGCACCAAACAAGCGGACCGAGACCGCTGAAAACTGAAAAGATGGGTCTCGGTCTGCTTCCAAACAAACTCTGGTGCAGTTCGAATGATATATGAACGCAACACGGACCAAATACTTCTAAACGAACCAAAAACAGGAAGTAATGACAAAGCCGACCAATCAGGTTGTGAACGTATCACTATGCCTTTAGGTTCGGTGTCTTTAGGTTCGCTGTCAAAAATAACAATGTGAACGCTCAGCGGACCAGGACCAAATGTATCATTTACTTTTTTGGTCGGGACCAAATGAACCAAACGAACCGAACTACAAGTGTGAACGCACCCTTAGACTACTGTTTTAAATACAAATACCTAGAAACCATACGATTATATTGGACCAAATGTATCATTTTCCTTTTTGGTCCGGACCAAATGAACCAAACGAACCGAACTACAAGTGTGAACGCACCCTTAGACTACTGTTTTAAATACAAATACCTAGAAACCATACGATTATATTTTTACCATGGTATTGAGGTGCTATATGTGTGGTTTTAACGGTGGTTATCATGATCTAAATGTACACTACTATGGAAGACAAATGTTTAACGTTAATAAAACTCAATAAATCAGAATAATTACATTTCACCATATAAAAACGAGGTTGTTACAATTTTTACAGATGTTACTGTCTTTGATAATGAACATAAATTTACATCTGCATCCTAACTCTCCTTTTCCAATGAGCTACTGTCATCGATGACAGACTATCTAATTTGAAGTGTAAATCTATTGTCATAAGGAGGCAGCAGCAGCTGTGTGTTCGACTTGAAGCAGACCGATCGGTGTACAGGGCCGTAGCTGGGGTTTGCGGGGCTCCGGTGCAGGTTGTACCGGTGGGCCCTGTTTGAAATTGTGTAAATAGCACAAACAAACAAATATACAAATTAAACAATGTTTAAGTTTTTTCAAGTTTGTAGTTGTCCAGGTACAGAAACTGAATAATCAAATGTAAATAGCACTGCATAGTCTTCACTGTATAAATTAAATATAGATTAATTATTGTTAAAACTACAAAGTAATTCAGTAAAGAGCAGTGAGTGATTTTCTCCTATTTAATTTCTTGGATTAACATTAAGGACACTGACAGCAGCTAGTAAATTAGGCGCGGTCACTTTAAGAGATCCAATATATATCCAATATAATGATACACATTCCATTTCTTTCTCAACTGTTTACTTTCACTTAAGACATAACCAACCCTTTTTTCGAGGATACTCGCAAAGACAGGTATTGTGACAATTTTGTATGTATTTGTCGTTTCAAGAGCAAATACATACAAATGCTTCGCTAAAGATATGCGCCTCGCCTATTTTTGAAGGTAAGAGTGTGCGCTTGAAAATGCTCTAGAGCCGCTCTCGCCATACTTTGATGTCATACATCAGTCTGCGCAGCTTCAAGCCGAACACACCTATTGGGTTTGTGGTGTTGTTGTTGTGCGCGCTAGGGAATGTATATCCGCCATACATCATCGCGTCACTATATCATTGATATCGCAATATGACACATGAAATTTTTTTGTAAAAATTATACCGGTATTATCGTGGACGGTATGATATGGCACACCCCTACAAGCTACTACTGTCAACTCAAGCTACTGTCAAATGTGCAAGAGACCCCAAAAAATGTTAATATTATTAATACTGCAGCCTGCACTGCAATCTGTGCTGAAGATACATGTCAGGAACACAAACTTGTTTCATGATCTGAAACAATATCACTCATTAGAACATGCAGAAACTAAGAAATTAATTTTTCTATTCAGATATTTATTTTGCTCAGGAAAAATAACTGGAAAAGAGTAAAGAATTAAAAAAGCTGAAGTGTTTGTCATGTTTTGACCATAAAGAGTTTAAAACCACAATTAACCGTCTGGTTTCTACAACTTTCACTCAGCAGCAAAAATCAGCCTTTAAACTTGAAAGAAATAAAGGTAATGATCGATATCGACTGATATGAAAAATGATATCGTGATAATTTTTTTGGCTATATCACCTAGCCCTAATTCTTGGTAATCAGGTTTGATTTGTGCTGACCAACTCATCTGGTGCTCGATGGGCTGCAGCTGACTCTCCACTGAGCGGATCTTCCTGAGCAGCGGCTCCTGAGCTTCTTTCAGAGACTTCAGCTTCCTTTTCATTTCCTCTCTCTCCTTCTTCACCCCCTCGAGCTCTTTACGTGCTGTTTCATACTCCTAAAATAGGAAACAGAGAACAAAGTCTTGAAATACATCCGATATGCACATCAAATCTTAAAATGCACATTAAAAAAACCTATGCGCTCAATTGAGTCTGATCATTTTTTTATCAGATAAGAAAACGTGCATGAACTACGACGGAAACACATTTACTGAATAAATTCCTCAATGTGCAACAAAAAACTCTTATTTTACCTCACAAGATCATGTGACTGGCTAACTGGACTAACCAGCAGACCATCTCATTGAACATCATCTCAAATGTTGTTTTAGTCAATCTGAAATCCCTGAGCAAAAGTCTGTCATCAAAATGATTTAATTACCTCCCAGAACTGTCTGACAAGACTGCTTTTCCAAACGCCAGGCATCCGAATGCAAGATAACATGACAGCTTTTGTGTTTGCATTTCATCTGGATGCCCTGAGGCACAAGTCCAAAAAAATCCACTATGTCCTTCCCTGGTTGCAGCAACTTTCATTTTCATTATTGATACTTTGCTTGACACTTTGATGATTTTATTGATACTATGACGATTTTGTTCACTTGAACACATGGAAAAGGTTTCATTTGCAAATGTTTTATGTGATAGTGATTACTGTTTCATAGGGATGCACGATATATCGGCCACCATATCGAGTTACAATACAAAACCAATTAAACTCCTCCAGTTGTGTTAAGTGTCTGCATCAGCTAACCGTTCCAGAATATTCCATTCAAAAAGGAAGTGACTAATGGTGGGTGTAACGTGTTATTCCATTCAAACTCTTTCCATCTATGCCAAGGAACATGGTTTCTATTCTGGGATCATGCTCTTAGTGTTTACAGCTACCCAAAAACACAGAGGAGCAGACAGAGAAAGGAAAGGGTCAAGTGTACAGTGAACTGTGCGAATGGGTCAGAGTGTATTGTAACAGAAAGTCTTCACTCTCCATTTCACTTTGCACTACTTCACACCTGTTTCTACCCTCAGACCAACAGGAAATTAACACAGCATTTCCATATCTGAAACAACCACAAAAATAGGGTTAATTTGGTTTCCATTGTTGCTCCACAGAACCAAGTGAGTCTGGGCAGGTCACTCTTGTCATACTTCATCAGAAGAGAAAATAACTATTGTAATAGTACAGACAAGAATACATACTGACAGGTCAATGGCAAACCTATCTCATTGTTTAAAGAAAGACAAAAGACTGGTCAATAAAACTAAAAAACAAATTCAGGTCATACACCAGTCAAGCAAATCTTAAATTCACAATATAACGAAAACAACACATCTTTTCTTACGTACTGTGATGTACATAATTGTAATAGATTATCCAAAAGGAAAAAAAACGTGGGGCGTCAGTTCTGTCCATTGGTTGTTGATTATATTTTGAGATTGCAGATCGCAGTGGACTATGGAGGGGCAGGGTTTAAGCTGACTAAATGAGTGGAGAATTCGTGCCTACTTCACCAGAAAGAAGTCTGTTGTTTTCACTGAAAGATCCAGTTTTGACATTTTAATTAAACATTATGAGGTCAAATTAAAAAAAAAAAAATAAAAGAAACGTATGACTGGATGAATTGTTCACAGTAAGATCTATAACATGCTTTGACAAAATGGATAAGGTGAATTGTCATTTCATGTAGGGATTAGACTTGTGCCGGTATTCGGTAATGCGATATATCACGGTAATGAATATGCACGATATTGTTATTAGGGATGCACGATATATCGGCCACCATATCGGTATCGGCCGATAAATGCTCCTTTTTTCTGTTATCGGTATCGGCCCGATAAGAACATTTGGCCGATATCTTAAAGCCGATAAATAATGCATTATTTCCTTCAGAGACACTTCAGATGCGCGCTGTTCGTTTGCAGCCTTTTGTGCAATTGTACATTGTATTATTGTGTTTATTTGATGTATATCTGATTTATCTCATATAGAATGCGTTTGGTTAAGTTAAAAGAGCGCTTCAGTTTACCGGTGATCATCTTTAGCTCAGCGCACGCAGCTCAAACAGCAGTGCACAACATTAATAACTATGATTGGGAATGTCGTGTATATAACATTCTAATGAGAACATTATTATAATAAAACGTTGTGAATTCTTTGGGTTTAGTTAAAATCATTTAATTATTGTCCGTGCAGAGGCTATTCCGTTTTATTGATCTATGGCGCATTCATTTTGATTCTTTACACGTGTAATGATGTCCAGTGACTTGTTTGCATTATTTATGCATTATTTTATTTATTTGTAAGACTTTTTTATGACTAAATTTGGTAATGGGAGAGTAAAATTATTTTTAAAACGTACACCGTTCAAACTAGGCTGCTTATGTTGAAGTGTTTGGGATGTGGGTTTTAATGATGAGACCTTTTTTGTAATCAGGCTCTCAAAAAGTATATAAAAATGTGGATATAGATTTATCGGCCAACATATCGGTTATCGGCTTTCAAAAAGAAAGAATTATCGGTTATAGGTATCGGCCAAAATGTTCATATCGGTGCATCCCTACTGTTTCATAATGAATGAACTTCACAGTCATTGAACTGAACTGACTGGAGCTGAATAACAACACTATTGTCTTGCTAGAGCTGCTTTATCTCAGAATATTTAGAGTTTGCATCACTGATCCTGTTATTTTTCTATTTGATACTGCATTGAAATAATCTCTATTGTTATTATTATTACTAATTAAAAAATTTTTTGACACAAGTTCAATTTGCAACTTTGGATGGAAACATAGCTACTATAAACATACCTTTTTCCCAGGTGTCCCAGTTATTTGTCACCAATGATTAATTTAATTCACAGCTGAAAGTGTCTGATAATAGTGAGTTTTGACAATAAAGTCAGTAGTATACGACTGGCTGCATGATCCAACCATGGTGGTCGCAAGCTGCACACGTGTGTGACCGCGCAGAAGAAATAATATGCCGTGCACGGAACAGACGCAAAAACTGTTATTTTTTTTTATATTTATTGAAATCTTTTTTATATTTTATTATTGTCACATGTCATTCAGTTTGGACTTTGTTTTCCTCAGGCACCATTTCCCTTTGCTGACTGTGTCATTCTGTTCAGGTGTGTGTATTTAATTATCCTTGTTTGGTCTGTGTATTAAAGTTCCTGTGTTTTCAGTTCTAGTGTGTCCCATCATGTCAATGTCAGCGTCTGGTGTATTTGGAGTTTCCGCCTGAGAGCGCCCTCTGGCTTTTGGATGGAGATTTACTACTGATCACAGAACCGTGCTTCACTGACAAGATGCCCATGACAAACGCAGCTTCTGCCTAATCGCGATTGCAATTTAATTTCGATTAATCATGCAGCCCTACTTATAATGAAGAGTAATTCCTCTCAGGGATCAGAATTTTTTAGCACTAATGCAACAAATTGTTTTTGGCCAGACAGAGTAATGAGAGGAACAAACTGGATGTGGAGCGCTACTACATGAAGAAGAGACACTTGGACAGGATCCAGATGCTAGAGAAGAAGAAACCCTTGGTGGTGAGTGCAGATCTAAACTTTTTGGGAAGTTTAAGCTAGTAAGATCTGCACTCACCACCAAGGGTTTCTTCTTCTCTAGCATCTGGATCCTGTCCAAGTGTCTCTTCTTCATGTAGTAGCGCTCCACATCCAGTTTGTTCCTCTCATTACTCTGTCTGGCCTTCTCTAGGAAGTTGGCTTTCTCCTTACACACATTCTGTCAAACATCACAAACAAGATGGAGTGAAATCAAAGCCCTATCACAGCCTTAAAATGGATTTCAAAACAAGAAAAACATTCACCTCCAGTTCCCTCTCTTTGCTGCGATACGTCTTGAGCTCGCAGTGAAACTCATACATTTCTGGCGGGCCGACAGACTTCTCAGTGGCTTCCAGAAGCTCAATCTTACTCATCTTAGCAAACTCACCAACCTTCTCCTGCAACACCAAATAAAAGACAAACTATTCATAAAAAAATAAGCAGCTCTTGTGCAGTTCTTAAAAACTTCACAGACATGTTTGACAATATATTAGGGTTGCTCCGATCGATCGGCCGGAGATCAGTATCGGCCGATAATCACATTTTATGACTCGATCAGTACTCACTACACTTGGCCGATCTCACGAACCGATCGCAATTTGATGACGTCAACGCATGACGGCGTACATGATGTGGGGACATAAATGATTTGGCGCCACAGTCATGTCATCGCCAGTGTGGAAATGCTATGACGTTTCGAGAAACAATGAAAAATTCGCTATTTGTCGTGTATGTTTTGCATGATGATATGATGAATAGATGGTTCATTTTTAACAGCAGATTCAGTGACGTTAGAGCTGACCTGTGCCTCACTGCACACGTCTGCGGCGCGTTACGGCTCCACGGGAACCGGAGCTGATCACGGCCGCTCTAATGCTTGTGTTTATACCGACCAGCCGTGGCACGTTTCTGAAGCAGCGCTCTGTGCTGCTTGGCTAAAAATAGTCTTTTGTGAGTTGTCACAGCGTGGAGGATGGAACAAAACCACGTCGGAGCCGTAAGAGGTAACTCGGCCGATCACCATGACAAGAAATCGGTACTCAGTATCGGCTGCAAAAATCCTGATCGGAGCATCCCTACAATATATATATTGTGCAGTAATAAACTTGTCACTATAATAACAGCGCTCACCTGTGGTAGGAACTGACACAGGTTCCCGACCTGAATGTGCAGCTCTTTCACGGCCTCCTACACAGCCCTCTGACTGGCGTGTTTTTTATTGAGCATCCATGTCGACTGGTTGTTCTCAACCTGGATCTCTCTGGTGATTATCAGATTGCCACTCTCTCTGTATCTGGACACAAAGACGAGCAGTGATGAACTGAGCAACTCTAAGTCTCTTCAAGGACTTCTGGAAATGGCCATTGTATAAATATATACTTACAGCTCAATTTCAACTGAACCCTTGCTGCATCCTCGCTTCACATACAGACCAACCTACAAACAGAAAAATACCTAGTTTATTTATTACTGACATAAGAATGTCAATAAGTGTTGTGTAAGAAAAATATAGATTTTTAAAAATGTATAAACTGTAATCTCCAGCTTCGGGTCGCTCAAGCAGGTGCGTTCACGACAAGGCGTCCGAGCGTATGACGTAGGCGTAGCGGATGGCGCAACGTAACTCCAGGCAGAAGAGTCTAGTCTCGTGAGAACCAAGTTTTGTTTACAGCACAGGGAAACCAGTGAACTACATCTGATTCTGTAGTTTGTGCCGCCGCCGCTGCAGCCTCCTCCATCTCACAGAGTTCCTGGTCGGTATACTCCGGTTCAAACAAATATGGCTGGGCAAAAAACTCATTCTCCTCTTGCCTTATATCGAAATCTAGAGCTGGGTATCGTGTTCGATACTTTTTAGGCACCGACCGATTTGCCTCGATACTATCGAGTATCGATAAATGTCTTGTCGTTCGGTACCAAATTTCGATACCTAAAGGGGGTAATCTGGTCAACGTCAGTGAGCCAGTAAGCATCCAGCTTGATGCACCTAAATCAAGTGCTGGTGATTGGCTCTGGTGAGGCATCGAGGTAAAACACTAGTTTACGCCGGTTCCGCCGGTTCCGCCCAGAGACGTGACTCACACGCGTGTAAGCGTCCAAACCCCCATAGATGTAAGGCTACGTTTACACTAGTGCATTTTCATTTTAAAATAAACGATCCTCGTCCATACTGGCATTTCCACTGCGTTTCAGAAAAGATTTGTCCACACTACATGACCAAAAATGCATGTTACGTGACCATTCATGCACACTGTAGCATCATGCTGCTACATAAGACAATTCATAAGATTTAGTCTATGCTTTTACTCAAAACTCGCTTTAAACCACCAAGTGTTTGTAATAACTTCCGATTGCGATTTAATGAGGGCTTTGGTCATAATGTTGCTGAAATATGTTATTTGTAGTCTTTTATATCAAGCTAAGCGCTACACCTGCTTAGAATTTCTCATGTAAACACCCTGTATTGTTATGAAAATAGGCAGAATCTCATGAAAATCACATACAAATCATATACTGTCGTAATCGCATGTTCATTAGCTTCATGTTTCATCCGTGGAAATGTTTTTCTGGGTTTCTTATGTACAGAACTGAACAGGGAAGTGTAATGGACGTTCGTCAAAGGAGACGGGGCGGGTTATGAACGCGTAATATGATTGACAGTTGAGCAGCGAATGAGCTCCTCTGAGTCAGAACAGCGATTGCAGAAGAGAAAACAGACAGCGGTGATCAATAAATCAGTGGAAAATTAATAGAAATTATGATTCTGTTTAAGCTATGTGTTTTAAAACGAAATGCACTAGTGTAAACGTAGCCTAAAAGTTGTGGAAACTGAAAACTAGGCCTATTTGAAATTTCACTCAGAATCTTGTTTTGTAGTACTAGTTCGTGACAGGTGTTTTGTTTTGCTTTCTCCTCTGTGGTTCCGCGTTCGTCACTCTCTCCCCGGAGTTACGTTGCGCCTTCCACTAAACCTACGTCATACGCTTGAACGCCTTGTCGTGAACGCGCCTGCTTGTGCAACCGGAAGCTGGAGATAACAGTTTATACATTTGCTTGCTGTAGCAGTTGCAGCTTGCTTCAGAAACCCTCCACCTTCCCCAGCTCCACCTGTGTAGATCTGCTACGAGGTGATTCATGTATGCTAAATGGGTTTTTTTTTCATGTATGTTATATTTGCAGCAGCAATATTTCTTACATGCTCACAGCAGCATGTTGTGGATGTATTGGCAGTAGCAAGTCTCGGCACTTGCTCTGCCGCAGCAGCAGCAGCAGCAGCAGCGTAGCAGATCTATTCCGCCAAGACCAAATACATTAACATTGTCATGTACATTACCATGCCAATCCCTCCGAGAGTTGTCATGACAGAACTATATTTTTCTTACACTAACGCATCGTTTCGCTTCAGAAGGCAATAAAGGCCTTCTGAAGCGAAACGATGCGGAGCCGTGCGGAGTAGTTTTATGATGGATGGATGCACTTTTTTAGGCGTCAAAAACAGGGACACCATTCACTGCCATTATACAGCTTGGAAGAGCCAGGGCAATTTTAAATATAACTGTGATTGTGTTCGTCTGAAAGAGGAATGTCAGATATGCCTAGGATGCCCTGAGTGAGTAAATCAAGGGCTAATTTTCATTTTTGGGTGAACTATCCCTTTAATGGCTTCTTGTGCGCACATAAAAGTCTGCATATTTTTTATTTCTGCAAAGCTCCTTGAGGCTATATTGAGGCAAAGAATATTGTGAGAAGAAACCCAAAACGCTTATAACCTGCATTTTGAGCAGCGAATGAGCTCCTCTGAGTCAGAACAGCGATTGCAGAAGAGAAAACAGACAGCGGTGATCAATAAATCAGTGGAAAATTAATAGAAATTATGATTCTGTTTAAGCTATGTGTTTTAAAACGAAATGCACTAGTGTAAACGTAGCCTAAAAGTTGTGGAAACTGAAAACTAGGCCTATTTGAAATTTATTAAAACTATTTGCATTGATTTATTGTGTTGGTTACATTTTGTCTTTGAGTCTGTAAAAACATAAATAAGCTGAAAAAATAAAACCAAAAAGTTTTTTTGAGGTAATTATCTTGTTAAAACGGATTTAATAAAATTTGTATCGAAAAAAAGTATCGTTCAGGAACCGGTATCGAAGTGCGCACATAAAAGTCTGCATATTTTTTATTTCTGCAAAGCTCCTTGAGGCTATATTGAGGCAAAGAATATTGTGAGAAGAAACCCAAAACGCTTATAACCTGCATTTTGCATAATGAAAAATTGCACCTTGAATTCATTGAGTCGTGTTTTATTTTTTTTTTGTTTGTGTTCATTTTAAAAGACACAAACAAAATTCATTTTCAAGTAAAGATGTATGGGGGAAGTTGTGGCCTAATGGTTAGAGAGTCGGACTCGTAACCCAAAGGTTGTGGGTTCGAGTCTCGTACC